CTGCTTGTTCTGAACATTCAGCCCACGTGCTCCGCGCTGCGCCCCTGCCGCCACGCGCCTGGTCTGCACTGCACGAGGCGCGCGCGTGGCACGCTGCGCGCACGCTCCGCCATCCGTTCAGTCCGCTGTCCAGTCTGCCTGCACACAGCACAGAGCACACACTGCCAGCCTGCCTGCACACACAGACCAAAGTACACAGCATACAGCACCATGTGCACGCATACGCCTAACGACGCAGCCCGCACCCCACAACAATAGCCTGCCTCACGCCTCACCACGCCGTCTCGCGCTCACACCGCCAGCAGCCCGATCAGAGAAACTGCAGCGCGCGCCTCCTGCAGTTACCAGTTTTCTTTCTCTGTGCATTCTGAGACCTTTTCATTCACCCCGCCGCCGCGCCTCCCCGGGCACTCACCGCAGCAGTGAAGATGTGAGTCGAAGTATGGGATATCGACCGAGCCCGCGCCTGCCGCACAAACGACAAAGTTCCGTTTCTTTTTACTGCCATAAAAGAAACCGAAAAGAAAAAAGCTCGTTATAGAAAGAAAACTGACAGGAAAGAAAAAACACCGCGGGGACCCACTTCCCCCCTCCCCCCCGCCCCCCCGAGGCTCAGAAAATAAACGAAAAACAGCCTAACCCCAGTAGGTATAACGCCGAGTGCCAGACCACCAGGGGGCAAGTGTGTGTAGCACCTTCGACCCCGAAATGAAGGTCGCCACGCAAAACCGGGCGCTAGGAGAGGTGAACTGAAGGCTGAGACAACGGAGGCCGAGCCTGAGTGGGCGCCCGCGCGCCCCCACGCAGGCAAGCCTCTGTCCTTCGGCCCACTCCGGCGATCGTCCGTGGGCGACCGCTAACAACACGAAGCCTAATCAATTCCCTCACCACCCGACCCCCCTCTAGGGACAGCAGCGCGCTTCTCATCCCGGAGAGGGAAGGAGGGGGGGGGGGGGGGGGGAGATCAGAGAGCCAAGGCAGGGAGTACCCCCGATGGACGCGAGTAGGGGGGAAAGCGAGACGAGAGATTCAAGGCGAACTTCATCACCCGTCCAGGAGCCCCGCATTAGGTAGCGACCCCAGGTTCAGAGCTAGGCTTCCCGACAGGGCAGGGAACCCCCAGCGCGCAGGCGGGGCCCACGGTAGCCTCGTGCAGTACGCGATACCGAGAGCTGGGGGAGAGGCGCGCCACGCCAAGGGGGACAAGTGACGGGGGGGGGAGAGTAGTGTCTTTCGCAGGTAAAACGCAATTTTTTTTTGAGGTCGCAAGAGCCAAGATGGTGGCGTTTGGACATCCCAATCATCACACAAGACAGCCTGTAGGTGATGGCGGGACGGCGCAGTGTTTGTGGCACTCGGCAGTAGGCACCCGCGGCACGGCCCCGCTGTCGGCTCTCGCAGGCTGCGGAACCGGACCCAGAAGGGGACGGTCCGGGCGAGTGTGGCAGTTCCTGCGCTAGCATGGGCACCCTCTATCATAGCACTACTGATCCTGGTCATTAGAGCTGCCAGAGATAGCGTCAGGAGCCGGTAGGAGTCAAAACCCCTCATATTTGAGACATCGTGGCCCATATACTCGTGCAACAACCCCTGGTCAACTCACCCTCCACACCCCGTATATAAAAGCCGTAGAGCCGTTCCGTACCTGTTAAGACTAGAGCCGTAGTAATACTAACGCGCGGGAGGTACTAGTACACACTATACACTATAGTACTGTACTAGGAGTGCACAGTACACAGTCAACGTACAACGTACGCACCGTCGCCAACGCGGCGCTGGCAATGGCTCAGGCCACCATCCCATCACCCATGCCGTCGGTCGCCGCCAGCCAGAAGCTCCTTCGTCTTGCGCGCCGACTTCTTGGGGCCGCCGACGTTGGGCGTGTGAGCCCTGACGCGCTTCGTGCTCGGACGGCCCGGCTCTCGCTCGGCGGTGACGATTGGCGGCGAGTACTTGTAGACAGGAGACTTCCTCGACTTGTACTTCTTGGCGCCACGGTCTATCTGCGCGTCGGACACGCGCTTCTCCCCGGTGGCGGAGAATTGAGGGCAGCGTTTTCGATCGGTGAGAAGCCTTTTCACAGTCACCTCCGCACGCGACCTCGCACGCTCACCAGGCGCAGTCTCGAGGTTCAGCGCGACACCCTCCGTCGCCGCCTGCCGCTTGACCGCCTCAAAGACCTCAACCGCCGTGCCTTCGTACTCGGGCAGCGTGAGCATCGCGCTCTCGGTCAGCTCAACAGTGACACCGCTCTTCACCCGCGGCCCGTCTCCAGTCGACAGCGGCGCATAGCCTGGCAAGAAGCGCTTCGATTGCCCGGTGATTGCATTTTTCGTGCGCCCAATGCCCAGCCCGATGCTCGCCTGCGTCTCTCCCGCCTCGAGCCTCACTCGCACAGCCTCGATCTCCTCAGGCGAATACTGCGTGCGAGCAGGCTTCGGGAGCACGGCTGAGCGCAGCACGACATACGTGCGCCCGCGAAGCTTCTCCCATCTCGTCTTTCGGAGCCGCGGCCCTTTGGCCGTGCGGGGCGTGCCGGGCCGCCTCTCAAACTCGATCAGATAGACATTCTCGAACCGATTTCGCTGCTGCTTTGGCCGGTAGCGCACCGTGCCCACACGCTTGCGCATCTTGGTGACGCATTCGCGTGTCTGCGGCCACGCAACCTCGATCGTGTTGCCGTCGAGCATCGCCACGTCGTCCGGCTCAGCCTCGGCGACGATTGCGGCGGCCGGAACGTCTGGAGCCATATAGGTAGGTAGGTAGGGCGTTTTGCCCCGGGTAGGAGCCGGAACCCTGGCAGATGCCACAGGCGGCGCAAGCGTGTGGCGTGCCGCTGTTTTTCTTCCGTCGCTTCCTACAAGGATTCGGTACTTCAGCTTGGTATAGTATCATCGTATTGCAGATCATACCCCAGGGCTATACCCTGATACCCTCTTGAAAGGACCCGCATTGGGCCCCTAGAGGATAGGCTGATACCCTGGTGGGTTACCCTTCACACCGGACACGACCCCCCTCTTCACACCTCTTCGCGCGCTGCGCGCGCGCCAAGACAGACAAACGCGCTCGAATGAGCGTCGCGCAGGAGGGAGGCGAGCGCACCACTAAGCAATGCGCTGGGAGGAGGGCGCTAATGGCGGCCGTCGTCGCGTTTGACGGGCCCGCGGCCGCAGCCGGTGCGGCTGCAGCCGCGCGAGGTGTGAATTGTCGCTTCGCTGCGCGGCCGCCGATGATACCTTGATACCCAGCTGAGATAAGTCCCCACAGAGGCCTAGAGCATACCTTGATACCCCCTCAAGAACAACACGATGATACTATATCAAGTTCAGCGCCGCCTCGGCCTCCCGCTCGATGTTGCCTGCCAGGCGGTGGAGGCGGGCAAGAAGGCGCCAAACGGCAAGCCGCACGAAGAACTCGGCGATGCCGCAATGGTCAACCCGCGTGCGAAGCACGCGACACGACACAAATACCTGCTCAAACGACTCGTCAAGACCCTTCGCTCGGCGTGGGGCATGCTCATCGAGATGGAGCCGACTGCACACCTCAGTTACAGTAACCCAAAACAACCTGACGTGGCGGCGGCGAACATCGGCAAAGGGCATGTGCGCCTCGTTGGCGACTTGAAACTGACGAGCTCGCTTGCGTGCAAGGGTGGCGATCGGCTCGGCTGGAAGGGGGCTTTTGTCGCCTTCGGCAACACCGAGCGGTCGCTGCTCGACTTAGTGTTAGGGCATGCTGCATGGCCGCGGCCGGGAGGGGGGGGGGGAGGGGGGAGGGAGGCGGAGGATGCAGAGGCGGAGGCGGCGGCGGCGGAAGAGGAGGAGGGGGAGAGTGAGGGGGAGGCGGAGGCGGGGGCACCTGTGACGGCCCGCTACGAGAAGGGCGAATACCGTTTCGCGCGGGAGAAGAATTGCGACCTGCGTTTGCTCGACTTCGAGACGTTCGGCGGCTTCGGGGACGGCGTCCGCAGAATTCTTCGGCAGGCGGCGGACCAGCTGAGTAACAAACTTTCGCACGCTCAGCACCTCGATGAGGTCACATGGACCACCAAGAACTGGCACGGGCTGCAGATGCAGCGCTTGTCTGTCGTTCTCCACACCGCCGTGGCGTGGCAGACGGTGAACGAGCTAGCGTGCGGGGACAGCGGCATTGTGCACGGAGCTAAGTGCATTGCCGTTCTTAACGGAGTCGCTTAGGCGGCTCCGGTGGTGTGCCGGTGATAGTACTAGCACGCGCCAGTTCGCACCTGTGTCGAGCCTGTCTGCTGTGAGAGAGAGTTCTTTTGTTTAAATACTATATCAAGCTGAAGTACCGAATCCAGGGTACAGAAGCGAGGGTCGGGTCGGCGTGATGCGCAGCAGCACCGCCGGCGGCCATGCGCCACCATCGCGTTGCAACTGTCATGCTGCTGCGATGGGTCTGGCCACCGCCGCGCTGCTCGCCCTCCTCCTCTTCGAGACGTCACGGGTCTCTGCCAGCCCAGAGCGGGTGCTCCGGCAGGCGCGTCACACTCGCCGTCGGATTGGCGGCAGCGAGCTGCGCCCCTTTGAGACGCCGACTGATGATTCTCGCCTCTCGGCGGCAGACATCACTCTCCTCATCAACAGCGGAGCCCTCCCGTCGCTCTCTCCGCCTCCGCCTCCGTCGTCGCTCTCTCCTCCCAGCTCGCGGCCGCCGCCAACGGCGACCGCCCTGAGCGCTAGCCAGGCCGTCGTAGTAGCACACGGCAACGCTGATGCCCAATCTCGGGTGATCTCGGCTGATGACTGACTGACCAGGCTGCCCTCGTCAAGTACATGGTAACGCTCGGCTTCGCCACCGCCGAGGCGCAGGCGGCGGTCGAGGCGACGCAGCCGCAGAGCGAGAGGGAGGTGCACGCGAGAAGGCGCAGCGATGGGGCCTCCGGCGGACGCGTCCACGACACGTCCGGGACACGTGTGCCGTAGGTTCACGAGAAGGCGCAGCCGTGGAGCCTCAGGCGGCGCGTCGAGGCCAACCGCGCCGAGTTCGGGTCGGAGCGCGAGGTCCATATCTCCCCACATCTCCCCACATCTCCCCATATCTCCCCATATCTCCCCACATCTCCCGATTTCGCGTCGGAGCGCGAGGTGTCCTTGACAGATGGAGAGGCGAAACACGGGTCTGGCCGCACATCAGGTGGTCTCATTCGACCACATGGACATGGACGGGTACGCGCTCCGCTGGGGCTCCGACCACATCGCCTCGTCGCTGGCGGACTGCGGCAGGCGGAGACATGGGGAGATATGGGAGATATGGACCTCGTCACTGGCGACTGCGGCAGGCGGAGATATGGGGAGATATGGGGAGATAAGGGGAGATGTGGACCTCGTCGCTGGCGGACTGCGGCAGTCGGGCCTCGCTGCTCACCTTTTACTGAGTGTGGATAAGACTGACACCGCGGCAGTCGGCGCCTCAGTACTGCTGATATCGCGGCAGGCGCTGCCTCGAGCTGACGCCGGAGCAGCCGTACTACATGCCGTGCAACGTCTTTGTGTTTTGCCCGCTCGAGATGTGCTTCGCGCCGGCGCAGCTCCCGAAGGGGTCGCGCAAGGGTTGGTGCTGGCTCAAGAACCAGCCCGACCCGACCGCGCCGCAGGTCAACATGAACGGCACGGACCGGAGGACGCAGACGGGCTTCGTGGAGTGGCAGGCGGGGGTCGTGGTCAAAAAGGGGAGTCGCGTGCGGACGGACATCAAGTCGGCCCGCGCGTCATGGTGACTCTCTGTGTGTTGCGGTGCCGCGTGTGGCCTAAATAATAAATAATAAATAAAAGTTTACACGGTCACTACCTGCCGCTCCTCACCTGCCTGCGCTACTTGAGCTGTCGCGCAAACGGCAAAGAGGTGCGCGGCCACGGGCCACGCCGGGCTCGACCTGGCGCACCGCAGTCCGGCAGGTGATGCTCGCCGGATGCGCTTCGAGCAGCTGCGTGACCTCTCTGCGGAGCTGCACCTCGTGCGGCGCGCGGGCCAGCGCAAAGCGAGCGACGGGCGCGAGAAGGCGCTGCACATGCAAGAGTCGGACCGACTGCTCATGCTCGAGGGTATCCACGGCACAGCGCTCGCTGTCGCGCAGGCCGCGTCGCCGATGGAGCGCGCGACTCTCGACCCCGACGAGGCGGCGGAGATGCGCCGAATCGCCGCAAAGGTCATCCAGGAGGGCAGCGATACGCTCGACGAGGAGCAGGCGGGACCCCCTTGACTGGGGGGAACCCCCCCAAGAGCACCCCCCCGTCGCCCCCGGGAGCCCGTCGACCCCCCAGGTTGGCGGGCTCCTTTGGCTTACGGCCCTGCTGTGCTCCCATGCACTGTGGGCCCGACGGCTTGTGAGGTCGCGAATCGGGTGAGCTGGTGATGACGAGCGTAGCCAAAAGCAGGCGGCGAGAGACAGTCTCTTTTGAGACATGCTCACCCCATGACGAGAACGACCAACGCACCGGCCGCCTGGCCGAAAAACGTGGGTTCGAATTCGTAGGAGGCACCTAGAGCAAAATTGAGCCCGCTCAGGTGTGAACAAAAAATATAAGGGTCGACCAGGTTTCGAACTGGGGGCCTCCCGCTCGCGGAGCGGCACTCGGCGAAGAAAGGGGGCGACCTAGTAGCATACCGGGGGAATTAGACACATCAGATACGCACAACCGACGCCCGAAGTGCCAAGAAGGACGCATTAGTACGAAACCTCAGAAGGCCATGGGCGCCGAGAGAACATTCCCCCGAGAGGACAAAAGAAAAGGCATCGCACCCCCTCCTTGCGCAGTGACCCTCGCTAAGTGTCGCCGTTATCGGGGCACGCTATCCTGCGCAGGCAGGGCAAGCGGGGGCGGGACGCAGTCCCATCTCTCCTGTGTACGGGTGGGTTCTGTCTCCAGTCTCGGAGGGGGGCAAAAAGATAAGAATCTAATTTTTTTGAGACATGCTCAAAGGGAGGCGGCAAAAACTGGCAACGGCGTCGTCGAGTCATTCACCCCTTTACAAGTGAAGCGCCGTTATTGTGAGCGCTGTCAGAGCGGTGTTTCGACACCGATATCGGCTCGACGCGGATGTCCAAGCGCGCTGAGTCCACTCATCGTCAAGGACTCCTGCGTTTACACATAGCCTGTGCCACTTTCGGCCCGCCCAGGGCGCGACAAAATTCCCGCTTTGGCAAGAGGGAAGGGCGCCCCAGACTGCGACGGCGCCGACAAGCAAGCCTGTGACAACATGCTGCGCCGCCATGCGCTCGAGGACCAGAACACGACGTCGCTGCGTGCGCGCGCACGCGAGTGCCGCGTAACCTTCCAGCGCATGATGCAGCGTCGGCCCGGCGTCATGGAGCACGTGCGGGCTCTCGAGGCCGACGTGTCGACCCGCACGAGCGACCTGCGCGCGGCCGCGCCTCGCGGCTTCGCGCGGCGGAGCGCGCGCGCGGCAGTGCCGGCGCCGGCGCGGCCGTCGCTCGCGGTGCTCGTGCGCGGACAGACCTTCCGCGGCGAGGCGCGCGAGAGCTTCCTCATCGACCGGTGGAGCCAGGCGAGCCGCGAGCGCGCGCAGCGCGAGTGCCTGGAGTCGCTGGTGGCGCGGCTTGTGGTGCCGTACGAGCGGGCGGGACACACGGTCGACGTCTTCCTCACGATGTACCGCGAGTTGGGTGGTCGCGCGCCGCGCTCCTCGATCCCTTTGGCGCGCGCGTTGCCGCGGTGACGACGGTGCTGCAGCGCTCGACGGCCACACAGCTGCTGCCGCTCGGCGCGGCGGTGCGCGCCTTCCTCAACTGGTGCCACGCGCACGCGACGAGCTATTCGGCGGTGGCGGTCACGCGCTTCGACGTCTTCTACAAGGCCGACCTATACGCCATCCTCGGCGACGCCGCCGCTATCGACGGCTTCCGGCTGCTTTGGCGCGAAGCTGGCGGCCACTGGCGGCACCACTCGGACCCCGTCGCCTCGGAGCGCACCTTCCCGCTGAGCGCGCGCTCCGACTGGCGACGGAGCAACGTGCGCGCGCCCGACGCCCTGATCGCCTTCCCGTACGCCTACACGCGCTGCTTCCTCGCCTCCTCGCGCCACGAGTTCTTCCCCGTGCGCAACAAGAGCTGGCCGCTCGGATTCATGCACAACATGGTCTTCGGTCTGATGCGTGCGCTGCCCTTCTTCAGCGGCAAGGAGGGCGGCGGCGCAGCGCACCACCTACCCGCAACAGCGAGCACGCCGCCGCACGCCGCCGCCCTCGCCCGCTCCGCTGCCGCCGCCACGCCGCCCGCCGGGGCAGCGCCTCCTGCCAATGCGCCCATCCCGCCCGGATTGCGATGGCTCGTGCGCGGCCAGTTTGACTCCAACCCGTGCCGCTCGACGTGCATGCTCAACCCGGTGTACGATCTGCTCCCGCGCATGGAGTGGGTGCGTGCCTCGGGCATCTGCCAGTCGCCCTCCGACTTTGCCTACGATGAGGCCTCCGATTCGCTCTGCTGCCCCTCGCCTAACTATTGCTGCCCCAACTCGCTCGCGTCGTGCGCGCACCCCGACGCGGTGCTCTTCGACGCCATCTCCGCCAACGTCTCGCGCGACGCCATCGCGCAGCTCTGGCCGCTCACGCAGGGCCGGCCGCGACGATGGCTCATGACGCCACGCTCCATGCGCTATGTTGCGGGCGTGTGGCGGCAGGCCGCTGCCGACGCCGAGGGCGCCGCACGTGTGCGCACGCCCTCGCCCTTCCACGCACGCAGCCTGCGCGCACCGCCGAGGTTGCGCGAGGCCGCCGCCGTCCTCGAGCAGCAAGCCGCCGCGACGAGCGAAGGCGGCCCGTGCGCCGCCGGTGCGTCGGATCGGACGCCCTTTTGTCGCGGGTAAGTATCGGGCGACCTCCGATACTGGGCTGGGTTTTTAGGCATTGTGGGGTTGGCACTCCCATCGACCCTCATGACCTCCTGCGGTCTCTGAGATGGACACCAGTGGGTGTGGGACCACAGCCAGGATACACTCGAAGGCTGGGTAAGCAGTAGAGGTCGATACTCGACGCGTACCACATGGTCTGTGTCGCTGTCGGCACGCTGTCGACAGGACGTCGAGCGACACCGGTGGCAGTGCCACCCAGGAGTGGTCGGGCGGTCTCCCGTCATGAAAGAGCCACCATGTGATCCGTATGATGATTCCTGACAACAGCCTCAGTCAACTTTCGTCACAGTTCCCGCTCTGAGAGGAGCTGCGGGTCAGTTCGACAGCTGGAGCTGTGTTGCCGGCGTGCGGCGGCCTGCCTCCGGAGGTGCCTCTGAGGTGGACATTTTTCGGTCACCGGGAGAGAACGCATTCGAATTTTCACTCCGGAACTTCAACTCTGCACGCGCACCGGCCAGGGCTACAATAGTGCCAGTGAGGCGGAGGCGCGACAGGGAAGGCCGCGACCGTGATTTGGTCCCTCCACTTGCCTACAATCGCTGTGAACCCAGCCACGTAGACCTGAGGTGAAGAGGCTTGGACCACAAGGCGTGGAGTCAAACAGATTTTATCCCCGGTCGCGGAACCGGCGGTCCGCGGTCCCCGGGAGCGGTTCCGCTTCCGGGCCCGCCCCCCGCCCCCCTGCTTTTATGTTCTCAGGTCAGCACACACTGGCATGACCCAATTCCACGCGTCTCCCGAACCGGGCCGCTGCATGCCCAGCGGCCACGGCGTCCCTGCTGACAGCACGCGCCAGCGCACCACTGCCGCGCTCGCCGGGCCGCGCAGCTCTCCAGCTCAGCCGCGCGCTGCCTACACGCGACCGCTGCTGATGGGCCCACACGGCGCAATGGCCCGCGGGGCTCTAGACGGGGGGCCTTTTGTCGATGTCGCTTGTCGGCTAGAAGTGCTCGTTTTTTTCAGTGTATGTGGCTCTTACGTACATTCCCGTAGGAGGACTCTGCTGACAGGGTTTGCGATGCGAGGAGCCACCCGATGGGTTTCTCGCATCTCGGAGGTTAGTGCACTCGCATCTCGGAGGTTAGCCGTACTTTAACCGCCGAAGCGCGAGTACTTGGAGCAAGAGAACTGCGACCTGGGTCGGTCTCATACTAGCACCCCACCTCGCGGGCCGATCTTCTGGCCCAGCGAGGCTGCTGCGGAGCACTCGCGGGGCGGTCTTCTGGCCCAGCGAGGCCGCTGCGGGGCACACCCGGCGGCTCGGGTCACTTCTCGCATCGCAAACTCGGTCGAGCAGGAGATAAGGTATGTGTGTGTGGGAAGCGGCGCGGCACTGTAGGAGCTTTTATAGTTGTACCCCGAGAAGTTTACTCTTACCTCACCCCAATCTTAATCGTCTCGCAACTCGTATTTTGAGCAGCGTTCCGGTTGCACACCACATACAAGTCAAGGGGCAAGCGCCGTAATCCTCACTCTCTAGCTCTCACAACCTCCCGTCGTTTGCGCGTGCGCCGAGCAATGGCATTCACTCGATTCGGGCGGCGTTGCGAGACACGCTAAAGGCGCGCCCCCCCCCCCCCCCCCCGAGGTCTCGCGCCTTGGGCCCAGTTTGTGTACACTCGACTACAGCTTCTGGTCAGGCACAAAGGGCTTCAGCTCTGGTCAAGCGCAAAGGGATTCTGTTTTAGGCACAAAGGGCTCCGAACCGCTGGAGCCGCTCTTCATCACGAGCTGGCCGTTCTTCATCTCGACCTTAAAAGGCGCATAGCCGGGAATCCGCCACACTTGGTAGAAGTAGTTGGCGAATTCGACTAAGTCGACCTCGCTCGAACCATCCTTGTCCATGTCTTGAAAAACAGCCTCAAGGTTGTGTACAGTACCTCCTCCTTGTTCGTGCCAGGAAACGTCTATATTCAATTTGTTGGCCATGAAGACCCCGACGTCGTTGTCACCACCCAAGGCGTCGAGGATTTCGTCCTTAGTGATGAGCCCGTTCCCGTTCTTGTCGATGTATTCGAAGAGCTTGACCATGGGACCCTTGACGTTAACGGCGGGCTCCTCCGGCATCCAGCCATTTCCTCCAGGCGATATTACGAATGAGTCGTCTGCATACCACGTCTCGTTCTCGGACTGAATCATCGGAGCGATGTTGGCGTCCTGCTTGAGGAGGCGGAGCACGTCCCCTGCCAGCGAAAAGATAGGGACGCCCAACGCCTGCTCGGTGCGGCCCTCCTTGACGATGGCGAAGAGGGGCGGAATTGAGCCCGCAGACCCAATCGTCATCTTGTTGGCGTCGTTCTTTGCGAGCCTGTAGAGCAGCTTGAGCGCAGCAGCCTGCTTGTGTTGGTTCTTTAGCATCTCCACGAGGGGCGGGATGGCGCCTGCCGCAGTGATCATCACTTTGTGGTTGTCAAGCCGCGCGAGGTTGCAAAGCACGTCCACGGCAGCGACCGTCCGCGTTAAGAGCGTCACAAGAAGGGGGATGCCACCCGCAGCGACGATTTTGCGTGCATGGATGTCGTGGTTGACGGAGCACGACGTCATGCACGACAGGTTGTGCAGAGTGTTGCAGGCATAAACTTTGGCCTCATCCGTGCCGCTCTGCAAGATGGCAACGAGCGGAGGAATGCCTCCCGCCTCCACAATCGCTTCCTCGTTGTCTCCCATCGAGATGTTGAAGAGCGCGCGCGTTGCGATGTTCTTTGTCGGGACCATCATGATGTCGCACTGCCCGTAGCTCAGGAGCTTCACGAACAGCGGAATGCCGTTTGCCTCCACGATCTTCTTCTCGTTCTGGACTTCGACGCCGTCGCCGTTGCGCCCGTTGTGGAGGAGGCGCATCAGGGCAAGAGCCGCCATAGCCGCAAGATTCTCGTGATTGGTGGTGCTGCTCGCCATAGCCGCAACGAGCGGGGGGATGCCGCCCATCTCTCCGATCTTGTTGTTGGGATTTTTCTCTGCAAGCTCTTCAAGCGCAGCGGCGGCCTTGATCTTTTCCGCGTCTGCGCCACTCTTCAAGAGGCCGATGTTGACGGAAATCTCGACCTCCGACTGCGACAAATTGTCCTTGTTCGCCATGGCGGTGAGCCTGGCCTCAGCCTCCCGCGCCCGCTGCTCTGCCTCCCGCGCCCGCTGCGCTGCGTCCCGCGCCCGCTGCTCGGCGCCCGCTGCCCTTCCATCGAGATCCACGTGCGAGCTCTGCGCGCAGCCACGGTACACCTGTGGTTTGGGTTGGCAGCGTGAGCGACAGCAAGGCCGTCTCGGAGTCGGGAGAGCGATACACCACGGGCAATGGAAGCGTCACACACCGGTCCTTCCGGCGAGTTGGCGTCGTCGTGTGCCGAGATCCGCTCCAGTTCGGCGACCACGCTGTCGAACTGCTTCTTGCACTCCCCCATCGTCCTGCTACGGCCGTCCGTCCGATACAACCACCGGAAAACGCCCCCGGCCAGATGCATGCGCAATTTCATCATCAGTGAGGCAGAACGAACGCCGCATCATGGGGCGGCCCCTCGAGGCGGCTGGATTCCAACAGAGGCAGAACATGGGGCGCAGAGGTCCCACAGCGAACGACGTCGACCCACGCACGTTGGTCGTTTCTCTGGGACTGGGTGGCTGGAGCTGGCGGTGGCGCTGATGCCTCACCTGAGTCCTCTCCCATCTCCCAAGCTGTCTCACTGTCTCCCACGTCCCACAGAGAGTACTTGTAGCATAGTAGGGTGAGAATTATGAAAAACGCCGGAATTCGGACGAGTACTCTCGCCTGCACAAATTCGATAAGTGGGACAAGGAGGGGGATGCGTCCAGGTGGCACGTCCTGGAGTTTGAGGCGTGCGTTCGCTCCGACTCCTCGGTGACCAAACGACGAGCTGGAGAGCTGGCGACTGAACGCTACCCGAGGGTGGCTGGCTGGCGGCGATGGACGACCGGAGACGCAAACGAATCGAGGAGCGGCTCCCGCAGGGAACCGACGAGTGGCTTGCGAGACCTCGGCTGTCGACGACTTCGCGAGGAGCGATCACGCCGGTGGCAATGCTGCAGCCGCTGTGCGCCTTTTCGGGTCCCTACACGCGAGTAGATGGGTTTGGGGTCGGCGTGGAGGTGGGCGACGACGTGATCATGGGCCGCGAGCGCAGGTCCCCCGCTCGGTCAGGGTAATAACGTGGTCATCATGCCCGGCCCGACGCTTGTGCCCGGTTGCACCGTACGGTTCGTGAGCGTGAGCGTGGGAGAGGGGCACACGCTCGCGTTGGCGGAATCGGGCGAGGTCTTTTCTTGCGGCAGCGACTTGCAGGCCAGCTCGGCCACGGCTCACTCGACGAAGGAGCGGCGCATGCCCTGTACGAAGCGAGATGCTCGAACGAGCTGAAGGCCCGCGTTGCAGAGGCGCGCCTGTCCTATGAGGAGCGGCTTGAGATGCTGGCGGGCGAACTGGCGGACGCCACTCTCGCTCGCTTCCTCTGCTCGTGGCTGAGCCCACTGCAGGGCAGGCACGGAATGGGTGCGTTCGCCCCTGGTGAGATATCAGAGAAAAAGCCGAAAAAGACACAGAGAGCGCGCCACACTGATCACACTGGGTGCTGTATCGGCTATCGCTATCGGCGTGCGTATCGCTGTGGGGGAAGAAACGCGCGGAAGTACCGCGCTGTCATCGCCGCCGGCGCCCACAGCCTCTATCGTCTCTCCACCGTAGGTAGGTAGGTAAGTAGTAGGCACAAAAAACGACTGTGAACTCGAGCCTCGAAAGCGACACGCTCGCGCCCGGCATTGAGACCCTACCGCCGCCCGCGCTCTCTCCCTGCTGCGCAGCGGCGCAAGCCTGCACGAGGGCGAGCCGACGCCGCTGCAGCGCGCCGCGGGCGGCGAGGGCGAGGCGGCGGCGCTGATCCGGCGGGCAGCGGCGCCGTGGTCGCCGGCAAGCCACTCGCTCTTCCCCGCGGCGGCGCGCGCGCGGGCGGCGCTCCTCGTTCTCTCGCTCTACGAGATCCACGAGCGGTACCACCTCGACTCGGCCGGAGCCACGAACGGCATCGCGGCGCTCGACTTTGGCCACTGCGTCTTGGGCTTCGCGATCGCGCGCGAGACGCAGTAGGGGAGTTGCAGTGGGTTCGCGCCCTCACGCTCACGGCGCTGTCTTTGAGTTTGCGCGCACCGTGCTGCTGCACGCGGTGGCGAGCGAGGGAGACGGGTAGAGTGCGTGAGGACGCACGACGGGACGTACACTACTGCGCGGTTCCGTCGAGCTCGAGCTGCTGGCGCTGCTGCTGGTGGTGGTGCTGGGCCGGCGTCGCGGTCGCTTCTTTCTCGACAGCGTGGGCGGGCGGGGACACGTGCAGTGTGCGTCGGTGTGCGGCCGAGTTCCATTTTCCGATATACCCGCGGATCAACTGTTTACTCAACGCCGACCCTCTCAGTGTGCAAGAATGGTGCGCACACTCCACACACGGGTACGAGAGCGGGGGGGGCAGTGGACAGGGATGTGGGTGGCCGGACACGAGATGTAACACACACACACTCGCGCGGGAGGCCTAGGTGGCGTCCGCCGCGGCTGGCGGCGCGGGCGCGCAGCCGGGCAG